CAGGGAGACTGAGGTTTGGGGACATTAGCAGTGTATCGATTGATGGCCACACATCCAGTCCGTGGTGGCAGCCTTAGGTCGGTCTCACTGGGAAACCTTTTAGATCATGCAGCATGGGTTAAAGTAGAATTCTGGGCTCTCAAGTTCTGGCCGTAGGTCTGCCGCCCCCTGCCGTGTGTCCTTGGGCAAGTCCTTCGACGTCCCTCAGGGTGCTGTCTTTGGGGCACCAGATTATTGGACTCCATTTGTGGTCCCAACAGGTCAGTCTCAAGACTAAGTTTTCATTGGTCCATGGTGAAAGAAATAAAAATAAGTTAGAAAATAAGTCTGTACGTGGCAAAATAAAGCAGTGGTAGGTCAGGTGCAGTGGCTCATGCCTGTCATTCCAACACTTGGGAGAACAGGACAGCAGATTGCTTGGGTCCAGGAGTTCAAGACCAGCCTGAGCAACGTGGTGAAACCCTGTTTCTACATTTAAAAAAAAAAAAAAAAAAAAAAAGCTGAGTGTGGTGGTGGGCACCTCTAGTAGTCCCAGCTACTTGGGAGGCTGAGGTGGGAGAATCGCTTGAGCCTGGGAGGTCGAGGCTGCAGTGGTAACCCTGTGTCATTCCCAACTCCCCTGTTAAAAAACGTGTTGGTTTGTGGAAGCCCTAAGTGTTGGGTCTTCCCGGATAAGACAATGTCGGTGGATACTGAAGCTCTGAAGTCCTGAGACTGAGAGCGGGTAGGGGGGTGACAGGGAGGCTGAGAGTGGGTGGCTCCCCCTCCGGATCAGACAAGGGACCTCAGTTTTTACCCACCACCCTTCAGTGCCCAAGAGCCTGAGCCCACCAGCCCACCTGCTGGGCAGGATTCTCACGGGGTGAGGGCAATGTGCAGGTACTGGGACATGTTTTATTTCCTGGCTCCTTCCTTTTTATTAGATTGGTGCAAAAGTAATCGTGACTTTTGCCATGGAAAGCAATGGCAAAAGCCACGATTACTTTTGCATCAACCTAATAACGTGTTCCAAGAGAGTGTCCTAGGGATATACAAGGCCCTGGGATAAATGGAGACCCACCCCTTCCTAGTCAGAGAGTGTAGACCAATTGGGGGCCAGTGACCAGCAGCACAGACACTTGTTAAGGCCAAGGGAGGAGCTGCAGCTCAGATGCCCCAGGAGGGAAGAGGTCAGAGAGGGCTTCCCAGACGTGGCAGTCTGTCTCCCTGAATTTGGGAGACTCGGCTAGGAGCACAGACCTGATGAGGTGTAACCCAGTCTGTTCAACCAAGGAAGCTGCAGGGGATGGGGCCTTGCTCCTGCCCTGGGTGTCCCCGAGCTGGATGGCTGGGGCAGGCAAGGCCCAAGGGCAGCTCTGTGGCTTCATCCCCAGTCATAGGGTACCATAAGGAGTGCTGGGGCTAGGCTGGGGACACAGGTTTTGAGATGGGGGTATGGGGGGAGTTTGACCTGGCTGGGGTGGGGGCAACTGAGAGGAGGGGGATAGGAAGCCCATCTGTCCTTGAATGGAAAGGCTTCCTCCCCTCCCCTTTCCTCCCCTCCGCTCCTCTCCCTCTTCTTCCTTTTTTTTTTTTTTTTGAGACAGGGTTTCACTCTGTTACCCAGGCTGGGATCTCTGCTCGCTGCAACCTCTGCCTCTGGGGTTCAAGCGATTCTCCTGTCTCAGCCTCCTGAGTAGCTGGGATTACAGGTGCCCACCACCACACCCGGCTATTATTTTGTGTTTTTGGTAGAAGACGGGGTTTCACTATGTTGGCCAGGCTGGTCTCAAATTCTTTTTTTTTTTTTTTTTTTTTTGAGACAGAGTTTTGCTCTTGTTATCCAGGCTGGAGTGCAATGGCACGATCTCGGCTCATCGCAACCTCCGCCTCCTGGGTTCAGGCAATTCTCCTGCCTCAGCCTCCTGAGTAGCTGGGATTACAGGCGCGCGCCACCATGCCCAGCTAATTTTTTGTATTTTTAGTAGAGATGGGGTTTCACCAAGTTGACCAGGATGGTCTCGATCTCTTGACCTTGTAATCCACCCGCCTTGGCCTCCCAAAGTGCTGGGATTACAGGCTTGAGCCACCGCGACCGGCCTCAAATTCTTGACCTCATGATCCGCCTGCCTTGGCCTCCCAAAGTACCGAGATTATAGGCGTGAGCCACCGCACCCAGCCGAAAAGCTTTTTTTTTGAGACAAGGTCGGTCTCTGTGGAATGAAGGGCCACAGTGACAATTCCCTGTGACTTCAAAGTCTTGGGCTCAAGAAATCCTCCTGTCTCAGTTCCCCGAGTAGCTGGGACTACAGATGTACACCATCATGCTCAGCTAATTTTTTAAAGTTTTTTTTTGTAGAGATGAGGTCTTGCTTTGTTGCCCTGGCTGGGCTTAAACTCCTGGGCTCAAGTAACCCTCCTGCCTCAGCCTCCCAGACTTCCCAGCCGGAAACCTTTCAGAAGCTGGGAAAAAGAAAGTCCACTCCACCCATGCCCTGCGCCCCTGCCCTTCCCCAGCTAGACTCTGCCTTTTTCCATGGACAGGGTACTGCTGTCACTTTGTGGCTGGGCAGCTGTCTCAGAGCCTTGTCTGTGAAGAGGGCAGCAGTGACCGCTCCCTCAGTGAGAGTAAAGCGAGTCCTCCAAGAGTGGGAATAGTGATGCCCCAGCTTGTAGAAAGTCACCTCTAGGACTCACGGACCATGAGAACCGTCATGGTTACCGATAGGGAAACTGATGCTTAGGGAGGGAGAGGGACTCGCTTAGTGCACAGGTTTTAGGGAGGGGCCCGGGCTGAACACTCTGCAGAGTGGAGAAGAGCTCCCCTCTAGAATGTGGCCTAGCACTGAGGCGGCCCCAGCATTCACTGGTGTGTACCCCGGGCCTCAGTTTCCTCACCTGTGAAATGGGGTGCTAGTAGAGGTGAAACGAGGCTGTCGTGAAAAAGGGGTGTAGCTCGTAGAAGGCACCCATGGACGCCTGTTGCCCGTCCTGTCTCCCAGCGTACTCCAGGCATCGCCTCTTTGCATCCCTACCTGGCACACTCATGGAATTCTTGTTGGTTGGTGAGCAGTGTGGGTACTGGAGTTTCATGGCCAGGCTGGCACAGTGCTGCTTTTCTGGCCCCTGGGGGCTCCCAGACCTATGCCAGATAGATGGGTGGGGAGAGGGGCACTGGCATGGGGTGGCTGGATCTCAGTCTGGCTGTTTCCAACTGCCTGCCTGCTGAAACCGGCCTGGTGCCTGCAGCCTGATGACCTCCCATGGGTTTGAGCTGTTTCTGTCACTGTTGCCCACTGGCTAAGGGGCAGTTCGGTTGAGGGCAGGATGCAGGACCTCTTCCTCCTCTCCTGACCATCAGCTGAAAGCCTCAGAGGCCTCGCTGGAGACTGTGAGGCCAAATGATCCAAGCCGCGGACTGGTGTGAGAACTTGGGTTATCACCAGCAGACTTGGGGACCTGTGGCTGGGACCTCAGTACCAGGCACAGGGCAAGGGGCACACTCATGGGGCCTGTGCCCAGCCCAAAGCCACAGCAGAGCAGTCAGCCTCCAGGATGCCCCTGAGGCAGAGAGCTTCCTGCCAGGTGGCTGGGTGGGCCTCCCAGTGTGTAAGGGGATGTCAGGGGCCCTGCCACCCCGTTCTTCTGGGGCCTCTAGGCAGGGGCAAAGCCAGGGCAAGGCAAAGGCAGCCAGAGCTGGCCTCACTCAAGCTCCCAGGTGAAGCTGTTAGAATTGTTGTCCTCTGGGATTTGGTTGGACTTCGATCCGTTTTCCTCGGAGAAACAGCCATGAAGCACCTCTTTTTGCTCTGCCAAGCCTCCAGCAGAATGCCTCCCTCTGCACAGGCCTGGCCAGGGACCCGTGTGGAAGCAGGTGTGGCAGGCAAATCATGTCAGCTCACTGCGCAGTTAGGGTGCCTGCCTGCTTCTCAGAGCTGTGAGCAGGCCTTGCTCCAAGGGAAGGCCAGATGTCAGAATCTGAGAAGCTGGCCACATGAGAGCAGGGAGCACCTGGCCTGTGCTGGTCAGAACTTTGCTCTCAGAAAATTGTTAAACTCCTCCAGACACACAGATGCCCGTAGTCAGAGTGACAAGGGGTTTCAGTAACAGCTACCCCTTTGCTATGCAGTGGGGAAACTGAGGCCCAGAGAGGCGCAGCACACACCTCAGAATTGCTGGCCATCTCCAGAGCCCTTAAGGAGCCATTTTCTTTGTCATTTAGGGACCCTCAGCTCCTCTGCCATGCAGAAGTGACTATAGTTCTGGTGCCAACCTGCATTTCCTGCCAAGAAAGCCAACTCAGGTGGGCGGTACCAGGAGACTGAGGCTGAGGCAGGGAGCAGTCAGGTAGTCATATTTATAACAAGGCCACCGCAGGACTCCCACTGCTCCAGGCAGGAAGGGATCCTGGGGCAATTCCCCCCACCCCCAGCCCGCCTCCTCGTGCTTGAGTCCTCGAATGTGGTGATTTCAACGCTCCCATCCCCCAAGAGCCTAGCCCTGTCAGGTTGGGACTTGCACTAGTGGGTTCAAATCCTGGCAGGGTGCCCTCCTCTGCAGAACGAGGAGAAGGTGGCGTCCTTGCAGAGTGCTCAGTGAGCACCGAGTGAGTCCCATGTGCTGTGATGAGTAAGAAGTCAGTGCTCCACGCCTGGTCACGGTGGGTGCCCCACAAGTCAGTCCCCGTTCCGGGGTGCAGGCAGTTGTCTCTGTCCTGCTAGCGGAAGAGTCAGGGGCAGGGTATGTTGGGTTCACGTCGATTCGTTCACAGCACCTAGCATGCGGCGGGTACTCTCTGGCTGGCACTCTGGGGCTCATTACCTCTGTTTCTTCCTTCGTGTGAGGTTGCGTGCGTGAAAGATGTCCCGTTGTGTGCTGCATTTCCCGAGGACAACCTGGCACACAGTCGGTGCCCACATGACCACTGGATGCTGGAAACCTCACCCAGCTCCCACTGTGCAGACAGCAGCGCCCACCTCCCCACCCCAAATAACGCGGCGGTCCCTGTGCTTGTCCCGCAGACGCCAGCATGTCTCCGGACGCCACCAAGCCGAGCCACTGGTGCAGCGTGGCGTACTGGGAGCACCGGACGCGCGTGGGCCGCCTCTACGCGGTGTACGACCAGGCCGTCAGCATCTTCTACGACCTACCTCAGGGCAGCGGCTTCTGCCTGGGCCAGCTCAACCTGGAGCAGCGCAGCGAGTCGGTGCGGCGAACGCGCAGCAAGATCGGCTTCGGCATCCTGCTCAGCAAGGAGCCGGACGGCGTGTGGGCCTACAACCGCGGCGAGCACCCCATCTTCGTCAACTCCCCGACGCTGGACGTGCCCGGCGGCCGCGCCCTGGTCGTGCGCAAGGTGCCGCCCGGCTTCTCCATCAAGGTGTTCGACTTCGAGCGCTCGGGCCTGCAGCACGCGCCCGAGCCCGAGGCCGCCGACGGCCCCTACGACCCCAACAGCGTCCGCATCAGCTTCGCCAAGGGCTGGGGGCCCTGCTACTCCCGGCAGTTCATCACCTCCTGCCCCTGCTGGCTGGAGATCCTCCTCAACAACCCCAGATAGCGGCGGCCACCGCCACCTGCCGGCCTCGAGAGGGGCCGATGCCCAGAGACACAGCCCCCACGGACGAAAACCCCCAGATATCATCTACCTAGATTTAATATAAAGTTTTATATATTATATGGAAATATATATTATACTTGTAATTATGGAGTCATTTTTACAATGTAATTATTTATGTATGGTGCAATGTGTTTATATGGACAGAACAAGAAAGACGCACTTTGGCTTATCATTCTTTCAATACAGATATATTTTCTTTCTCTTCCTCCTTCCTCTTCTTTCCTTTTTATATATATATATATATTAAAAAAAAAAAAAAGATACAGCAGAGCTAGGTGGAAGAGCCTGGGTTTGGTGTATGGTTTTTGAGCTATTAACGCCCAGACAAAAAGCTAATACCAGTCACTCGATAATAAAGTATTCGCATTATAGTTTTTTTTTTTTTTTTTTTTTTTTAACTGTCTTCTTTTTACGAAGAGGGGCAGGTAGGGTTTCAGCAGATTTCCAGCCCGTCATGTACCCCGAAACTTCACCTCAGTTTGCGAGTTTCCCTTTTATTGGATAAAGATAGAACAAATGGCAAAGGGAGGAAAGTCACATTTACTCTGAAGTAAACCAGAGAAGGTTCTGTTGTTCCTTCCTGCCCATGGCTGTGGTGTGTCTCCCGGATAGCGATGGGGGTGGGGAAAGGGAGCCTATCCTGGACAGGCTCTTCCAGTCTGATGGAGGAGGTTCACGTCCTAGCCTAGACGGGCCCAGGCCCACACCCACCGTCTCTGAGCTAGGAGCAAGCCTGAAGAAGACACTGCTGGTCACCACTGTGTGGAAACGGCCTGGGGAGCAAAGACTGAAATGGGCCTTGAACCCACCTGCCACCTTGCAGAACCATCTGGAGCCCCATGGTGAGTAGATTCTCTTAGGACCTAGACAGGCTATTTCCCACCCCCAGCCAAAAACAGCTCAGAATCTGCCTACCCAGGGCTGTATTAATGATTTATGTAAAGGCAGATGGTTTATTTCTACTTTGTAAAAGGGAAAACTGGAGGTTCTGGAAGGATAAATGACTTGCTCGTGAGACAAAATCAAGGTTCGAAGTTACATCAAATTGTAGGACCAGAGCCACATCATTAGATCAGCTTTCTGAAGAATATTCTCAAAAAAAAAAAAAAAAAAAAAAAAAAGAAGAAGAAGGTCTCCTTGGCCAGATAATGAAGAGGAATGTTGCATTGTATATCTTTTTTCTTGGACATTTATATTAACATATTAAGTGCTCTGAGAAGTCCTATGTATTATCTTTTGCTGCATAATAAATTATCCCCAAACTTAGCAGCTTAAAATAACTAACATTTATTATCTCCCACAGTTTCTGTAGGTCAGGAATCTGGGAGCAGCTTGGCCAAGTGGTTCTGGCTCAGGGTCTCTTGTGAGGTTGCCATCAAGCTGTCGGCCAGGGCTGCAGTCATCTGAGTCTTGACTGGGTCTGGGGGACCTTCTCCAGGCTCGCTCACGTAGCTGCTGGCAGATCCCTCAGATCCCTGCACATGGGCCTCTCCACTGGGCTCCTTGCAACATGGCTTCCCCAGAGCAAGTGATCAACAGAGCAAGGGTGAAGCTGCTGGTTTTTTGTTTTGTTTTGTTTGAGACAGGGTCTTACTCTGTCAGCCAGGCTGGAGTGCAGTGGCCCCATCATGACTCACTGTAGCCTCAGACTCCCTGGGCTCAGATGATCCTTCTGCATCAGCCTCCTACTGCCTGGCTAATTTTTGTATTTTTGGTAGAGATGGGATTTCACCATGTTGCCTAGGCTTGTCTTGAACTCCTGGGTTCAAGTGATCCTCCCACCTCGGCCTCACAAAGTGTTGGCGTTACAGGCATGAGCCACCATGCCCAACCTAAGCTGCTGTCTTCTGTAACTGTATCTCTGAAGTGACATACCATCACTTCTGCCATACTTACTGGTCATACAAACTATCTCTGTTACAAATGTGGGAGGGATCACACAAGGACATGAATGCCAGGAGCGCCGCCACATCCTCCAAGAAGTCAAACAGTTTAACTTTGTTTCCCAAAGTCATTTACCAATAGACTGCCCACCCCTCCCCCACCCCCACCCCGACCCTGTAATTCTGTCCCCATACCGAGGCATGCCGGTGCTTCTGGGCTGACCACAGTTGGCCACACCAGGGTGCTCCGCACTGAGGCCCTGCTCTGAAGACACTCAGCAGAGATGTCTGTCTCACTGGAGTGAGTATTCAGAGAGCTCTTGGTCTAGTGGCAGGCTGGGAGACACCTCCGGCTCACAGGCAGTTTGTGGGTGCACAGCCAAAAGGAATAGGCAACCACTTCCGTGGGAGTGCTGAGGAGGGGAATCGGGAGGCCTCCTAGGAGGGCTCAGTGCTTTGACCTCTGGTCCTCACAGGACAAATGAGCAGCAAGCTTGCAGGCTAAGGTTGGCAGAAGGCGCAGGAGCAGAGTTTGGGGGTGGCAGACACCAGGAAGCAGGAGAGGCCAGGCTGCCCGAGTTCAAATCCCAGTTCTGCCCCTTGGAGTGACTTCAGTGACTTCTTGACATGCTTTGGTGTTACCTTTTGTAAGACGGGAATAAGATTGTCTCCACCTCAGAAGTAGGTACGAATTGGGAGAAGTGAAGCATGCCACGCAGTACCTGTTCAGTCATCAGGACACAGCAGCTATTATTTTATTTATTTTTTCTGGTAGAGTCTCTGTGCCCAGGCTGGCTGACTGCAACCTCTGCCTCCCAGGTTCAAGCAATTCTCCTGTATCAGCCTCCTGAGTAGCTGGGATTACAGGCGCACGCCACCGTGCCTGGCCAATTTTTGTATTTTTAGTAGAGACGGGATTTCACCATATTAGTCAGGCTGGTCTCGAACTCCTGATTTCAGGTGATCCACTCACCTTAGACTCTCAAAGTGCTAGGATTACAGGCGTGAGCCACCGCACCTGACCCAGGTGGTATTATTAACACAGGGCCAGGGCTGGAAAGGTAGCTAGGGGGGGTCTCAAACACCAAGATGAGGAGCAGGGGTGATCTTCAGGTGGCAGTGGGGAAGGTGAGCTGGTTTCTCAGTGGGCCAGGGAGATGAGCAGACCTGGGCCTCCTAAGGATCATTGCAGGGTCCCCTGAGCCCTGAACCCATCCTGGCTCCCCTTGAGCCTGGTGCCCAGTAATGCCAGCCTCCTGAGAGCGGCTCCTTCGCCATTCCACTCCGCAATGCCTGGATGTGGAAGTGATCATTATGATCTGACATCATTGGGGGTTGACAGCCCCATTTTATTAGTGAGGAAACTGAGGCCTGGAGCAGGGAAGTGCTCACCTCAAGCCTATAATCAAGGAATGTTGGGAGTGTGACCCAGGTTTCCTGATCCCACAGGCTCTCCCTGTTCCCTAGATTTTCAGAGGGCGACCAGCCTGGCAGAGGACATTGCTTTTTTTTTTTTTTTTTTTTTTTTTTTTTTTTGAGATGGAGTCTCATTCTGTCGCCCAGGTTGGAGTGCAGTGGTGCGATCTTGGCTCACTGTACCCTCCACCTTCTAGGTTCGAGTGATTCTCCTGCCTCGGCCTACTGAGTAGCTGGGACTATAGGCACCTGCCACTAGTCCCGGCTTATTTTTGTATTTTTTTAGTAGAGACGTGGTTTCACCTTGTTAGTCAGGCTGGTCTTGAATTCCTGACCTCAGATGATCCCCCATCTGGGCCTCCCAAAGTGCTAGGATTATAGGCATGAGCCACCATTTCCGGCAGACATTGCTTCTTAGAACTAAGCCTCACTGGCCCTAGCCTGCCCTTCAAGGAAAACTCTCCTGGTTCTGCTGCCAGCCCAAACTCCTACACCCCTTCCCATTGCAACCCCGAGGCCCAAACCTAGCGTGAAAGTCCCCGGGCCTCTCTCCGCAGTCTGTTGCCCTGCCCTGCTCAGGCCTTGGCCCTTCTGTCTGAACCCTGCAGGCTCATAGCCGGCTGCTCTATGTGAGAATGTGCTTGGAGGAATGACTAGTGACACTAACTCACTGCTTGGGAGCCCTTACAGATAAAGAAGCCGATGATGACATTAATGGTCATTTGTCCAAGCTCCCTGGAGGAAGGAACAAGCCCCCGTCTCAAATGCCAGTCTGGAGCTCTCCCCATGCCCTGGATGTGACGGGCTTTGTTGGAGTGGGCTTGTCCCTTGGGGGACAACATGCACACCTGAAAGACTGATTTCTGGGGACCCAGGGATCTCAACCTTGAAGCTATCTCCTGCTCCGAAGCTGAGAACTTCCCTGGGGGCCTCGGGTGGCCTCGAGTGTCAGGGAGAGGCCCTGTGGCTGCCTTCTTGAGGGTCTGAGAGTCCAGTTCCAGCCCCTCAGTTTACAGATGAGGAAACCGAGTTCTGGGAGTTGGTCTAGCTGCCGAGTTCAGCGGTGGTGGGACCTGCTGTCCTCCCTCCTCTCCAAGGCTCCTGGCTTCCCAGTAACTTTGTGGTTTCCCTTAGACCACCCAGGGATTGGGTGACTCAGGCTCCGACAGAGACACTTTCTAAACAAGCCCTGGGTCTTTGCAGAGTGTTGAGGGGAGCTCGGTCCCTGCAGGCCCTGGGAGGCAAGATTGGTAGGACTTACTGCCCCCCAAAACCAAGGTGATGCCCTCGGAGGATTCCTGCAATTGACTAGGTTTTGGGAGATGGGTTAGTCCCTATATTCTCCTCTCTCATCCATTCCATATCCCACCCCGATCTCCGGCACCTTCCCTGCCTTAGTCTCTGGGTGTGTATGTTGAGGGTAGGAATGGAGGGGCTGACCGAAGGAATGAGAGAAACAGATGGGAAGAGAGCAGGGAGCCTGGAGATTTGGGGTTCTTTTCTCAGAAAACTGAGGCCCAGAGAGGGGGTGTGAGTGACCTGAGGTCACACAGCATGCACATACATTATTCATCTCGGGAGACTTCCTGGTGCCTCACACTGCCATAGTTCACTCCCTGCCCATCTGTCCCCTCCTGCAAACTCCCATCCCCCACATTGCAAGGAACATAAAAGCTCCAGCTGCCTCTGGCTGCAGCCGCCTTGTTCTAATCCTGACCCTGCCACTTAGCAGCTATGTGACCTTGGGCAAGTTACTTGACTTTTCTGTCTCAGTTTCCTCATCTGTAAAAGTGAGGAATAATAATACAAGAGTAGCTACTTCCTAGGGTTGTTGGGAGGATTAGATGAACTTGTACCTGTCAGGCATTCACACCTGGGCTGTATAGAGGCGTCCCCAAACTACAGCCCGCGGGCTGCATGCGGCCCCCTGAAGCCATTTATCCGGCCCCCCGCCGCACTTCAGGAAGGGGCACCTCTTTCATTGGTGGTCAGTGAGAGGAGCACAGTATGTGGCGGCCCTCCAATGGTCTGAGGAACAGTGAACTGGCCCCCTGTGTAAAAAGTTTGGGGAT